GGGCTGATCAGGCAGAGGCTGCTGAAATACAGGAAGGTGCTGTCTCTGCAGCTAGGTTTGCTATCCACTGCTCTTCTTCTCTGCTTGCTTGCTCCGTGTTTGTGATTTTCAAAGTTGTGTTATCACACTTTTCAATGCCACTTATCCCAGTCTAATTGGTTTTTAGTAACGATGTTTTCTTGGAAAAAAAATGTTTGGTTTATTATTGTCATTATTTTCATTGTAAAATTTGTTGGCAGTGCTTCAAATGATAATCAGTCATCACCGGCGACAGCTGCCGAGCCAGAGCCCAACACAATGACCCTAGATGAATACAAGGCATCACTAGAGTCCAAGAGGTCTGCAACATACATTTGCCTCCATTCATTTTTCCAACACAACTTCCCCATTAATTTGTTAATTACCTGAGTGCTGTTTTCTAATAAGCTTTCATTCATTTAGAGAAAAATGTTACGAATGTTTGAGAATTTTTAGGGAGGGTTTGTATAAGAATGTTTGGAACGTGTTTAATATTAAATCTCGATTGTTAACTCTACATAGTTATATGGCCAAGTTGGCTAGGTAGTTAGGTGTTGCTTATTGTAATGAGTTGTTCATGATGGCTGAGCCGTATAATTCACTTTGATTTGTTTTGTGTCTTACCTATCTCAGTGAAAATTTCATGGCAAAAACTATTTCTTTGTCTATGTTGGTTGTTGGACATATCTGTCTCCCTCAGTCTTGAGTTGAAATATTTCCCAAATTTTGTAATAATATTTAAACTTTTTTAAAAAAAATTAGAGTGAAAACGGAGTTCAACATTCGCAAACCAAACGATGGCTGTGTAGATGAGAAATGGAGGAAGATGTATGTGCTGAAGAGCAAGGAAGATGATAAGAATGAGGAGGAGGAGGAAGAAGAGGTGGGTTATGTTTTTTCAATCAATCACTGCACAAATCCATTTACGTCGTGCGTTATTGTACTACCTTCTTCAAACTATTTGTTCATATTTGAGTTGTTATTTGATGTTACTTTAAAGCAAGAGTACACTCCTGCTATTTTTGTTTCAGGAAACAGAAGAGGATCGCCACAACAGGCACAAGATATCGTTCCAATTGAAATCAAGTTCGC